CTGACGTGACGTCGTTTGCGCTATATATAGAAACATAGTGTTAAAGCGCGCTAATGTTAGCGTTACACTATGGGCGCGTCATTGAAAAAATTCCCATTTTAACAGTTTTCTGTTCTTATTTTATATATGTGATAAATAGAATATTATATTCGTGTAAATTCAATACTAAATTTATTGAACTCGTTGGTTAAAACAATATTAGGCTCGCATAATATGACTTTATTCAACTCGTTCAATAAATTTAGTATTAAACTAAACTCATTCAATATCCTCTTAGTCTATTTATCACATAGACCGCGGCACAGGAGTGTAATAAAGCCATTTAATAAAAATCGATATTACACTAGTGTAATAACACTTTGACGTGCGTCATTTGCGCTATATAATGATTAGGGGGCAGGGGTAATATTCGAATGATGGCCCCGTTCAAATTTTTTAATAACTCAGACATGCTGTTTTGAAGGTACAGGAAACTTCTGATATTTCTCTGCCATTGTAATGTTTTCTTGTTTGTGTGTAGGAAATGAGAAGTATTTTTGGGTTTTTTACCCGAAACTAAGCATTTTGGTAGCTTTGCATGTATTTCTGACTCTCCGGATGGAGGTGAAAAAGTAAAAAAAATAAAGCTTTGACAGTTGGCGCCAAACAAGTAAAAAATTTCGGATATATTTGTGAAAAATCTAAACGTATGACAGACACTTTATTGGTCATTTTTGAAAATGCCATAGCCTGCACTGCGTGTTAAGGATATTTTAAAGGAATCGGGCGGATGTTGGAGTATAATGGTATATTTAAGGTGTGCTTTTGTAAATGGGGGTAAATATAAATTGCTGTCAGTCATTTTTAAGGAGAAATGCATGCAAACTATTATTTTCTTCAATGTATGTCATATATCATTGAATAATGCTGTGCAACTTGTTATCTGCTTGTTGAAATATTTGGAATTGTGTTTCTGGTCACACTGAAATACAAAATTGTTCGTTTTTAGGTCCCCTGCCCCCTTAACTCGATACAGGACTGGAGCCGTACCGCTATCTAGACGCTTGCAGAAATCATGATCAATTAATAGACAAATATATCTTTTTTCGCCGATTCTTATTTTTTTCATTCATCATCATACATAAATCAGTGTGAAAACATGAAAAAGACCTTTTTAAGGTAATTCCATAGGGTGAAAATGCAAGATTTTAGTATTTAATCATTCAAGCGCCTTGCCCGGTATATACCGGAATACGGTATTTAGTACCACTCAATGATTATACACATAGCGCGTTAGCATTACACTGTGAAAAATGACTCCTTTAACAGTTTACCGTTCTTATTTTATATATGTGATAAATATAATATTTTATTTAATTTTACCAATGAAATATGGTGATATATCAGTCAAATATATTTCATATTTTTCAAAAATAAATATGAGATATAAATATGAAAGTGGGCGGAGTCAAAACTCATATTTATTTCAAGGAACTTCTATCCCCATTTTATCCCCATTTTGGGGCGTCCGTGGCCGAGTGGTTAAGGTCGTTGTCTTCAAACCACTTGCCCCTCATCGCTGTGGGTTTGAATCCCGACAGGGACTTTGGATTCTTTCATGTGAGGAAGCTATCCAGCTAGCTTACCGAACGTCGGTGGTTCTACTCAGGTGCCGTTCGTGCCTGAATTAATGCACGGAAGGGCATCTGAGGTCTTCCTCCACCAGTAAAGCTGGAACGTCGAGATATGACCTATACTGTGTCGATGTGACGTAAAACCCAAAACAAAACAAAACAAACTATCCCCATTTTGTTTGAAAAATCTGATAAATACAAAACAACTTTTTCTTGAATTTTGTTTTAAAAACTATCTAGAATGATAGAAAATGATCTAACCGAACGCCAATATCTTTAATTCAGTAATTAACGCTGTACAGACGTTTAAAGAGTTGATTACATGACGTCACAATGTAGCGCCAAACATCGCTTGCTTACGCAAAATTGCTGCGCGCTGTACAATTGCATTTGGTAGCAAGCAAGGGGATTCGTTACCATTTTCTTTGATAATGAAATTAAATAAAAAGGTTATTTTTTTCGTTTTTCGTGAAATATAGTATACATTTTCGTACCGGCTCGTGAAAATATGTGGCATTTTATCATGTTGAGTGAAAATATATTCCATATTTCACGAAAAACGAAAAAATATCCTCGTAGTTATTCGTGTAGATTTAATACTAAATCTATTGAATTTGTTGAATTTAACTATATTATGCTTACCAGAGGCTCGCATAATATGATTTCATTCAACTCTTTCAAATTTAGTATTAAACCTACACTCATTCAAAATCCTCTTTTTATTACACCTCTGCGCCGCGATTTATGTGATTAACTTCGTACCACAAACTGTAAAAGGGAGGTAAATGTGCAATATTTATTGTGTGAAATGTTATATCAATTATTCCTCTTCTTATGTTTTCTTTTTTTCCCTCTTTTTGTTGTTGTTAAACATTTCTGAATTTCTCACTGTATAAAACCAAATAGTAGTTTACATTTATAATATTGGGGGATGGGGGGTGGGCGGGGGTGAGGGTAATTTGCACCGTACCGTCTATGAACAGGCTCTATCAAACCGAGTCTGCAACATTTTCAATTTCAACGTTTTGGACTTTCTTAAGGGATTCTTATTTACTCTATTTTAGTTACAATATCTTAAAAATGCTCGAGCATTATTTGTATATATTCAAATGCTTGTAAAGTAATTTTCGGTTTCATTTTCCCACATTACAAAAAAGAACATTATTTTTTCAGTTATACATGCTCCTGCCATATTTGTATATGTTATATTAACGAGCTTGTTATACTTAAACCATGTAATTTAATTTATGTTCTGTTGTGCAAAAACAAGAAAATTGGATCAAAGACTAATAGAATCTATCATTGGGTTAGATAGAGGATAGGGAAATCCCAACCCGAGGGTGATCGGTTCCATAGGGAACGAGCCTTGGCGAGTTCCCGATGGAACAGATTGCCCGTGGGTTAGGATTTCCCTATCCTCTATCCAACCCAATGATTGATTATTTTTCTCACTCACCAGGACACACAAGAAATCAGTGAAACTACTTGCTACGCGCATTACAACGTACTTAGTTTTGAAAAGCGGGGCGGGGCTTAGGCGCCTGACTTTCTATGATTAAAAGTCCGCAAAAAATTCTACTGACCAAGTTTATGTGTGAAAATTCAATGAAAATAAATTCATATGAGATCCCTCATCAAAAAGCAAGGTTATCATGATAAAACACATCAATATTAAAGTCGGAAAGTGTCATAATTTAAGTGTTTATAAGGAATTCAGGTTAATATCAATCTATTTTGATTCCGTGGACAATTTAATAGCTGAGCTCACATATTTCTAATACATTTTGACCTTTTGACGTTTCATTTTTGTTAAAATAGGAGTGAATATGTGTAGGAATATGTTTTTAGAAGTGCTGCACGTTGAGTGTGAGATAAGCCCATGTGAGATAAGATTTTCCAACACCGCTTGTTTTAGTAACATTTACGGATTTTTCTATCTGGTTAATGAGAAAAAAATGCCGTGTTGCATTTGTATACCAATTATCATGAGACTTATGAGGCATTCAATGAACGCATCCCCAAGATAACCCAGCAACGTTAAGAGCCCAACATAACACCAAACAAATTTTCAATATTTTATCAAAGTCTACCCAATAGTTAAGGAAAGATAATTTAAAAAATTTCTTTCTATTTTTAGACCTTGAATAACCTTAAAGCAGGTTCAAACATGGAAGAATGACATACTACGTAGAACATTTTGCTCATCACGTTGGGTTCACTTTTAATACGAAATACCCCAAACTGGTGTTGCTAGAATTTTACTTGATAACAATACTGTGTTTCCTGGGCATATTAACTAATCTTTTTTAATTTCCTTGTCGGTTTCTATAATTTTCTATTATGTATAATTTGAATTGACAACTCGTCCATGCTTTGCCTTGTGCTTTGTCCTGATTTTGTTAGGTATCTAGCTGTGCATCTTGCTGGTAGTTCCATGTTGCGGCGTGGGGATGGGTTCATTAAATGCCACCCATCCAAAACTTGTAAATCTTGCTTTTTATATAATTTTTTCACAAGGGTAAACATACATCTTGAGTGATTTCCCTCTCTTGAAATTAATGTTGATCTACTTTATCTTGCTCGTAATATTGTCCCCACGTTTACTTTTGGCTCAGCACAAAACAGTTCAAAGAGCATAGTCAAAATTAAATCACTAACATTTATTCAAATTTGATAAAGTCATTGACAAGGTGCTGTCGCTATCGGCAAGAGGAAAGAGCACTCACAAATGTAAATAAGCCAGCAATTTCATTCATTAAATGTTAACAATATGGAACTATGCCGATAAGTATGCATTCATAGACTTTATTGCATGTGTCGATTAATGCTAACTTTAATGAAATGGTTAAAAGTAGTGTTTAGCACTTTTCGTTAAGGTAATGTAACACTTTTTAAAAGTTGTCGGATGCTTGATCACATTTGAATAAGTGTTAGTATTACTTTTTTCCCAAACCAAGTAAACTTTTGATGAGAAAAATTTTACGTATAAATTTCATCCTATAATGAAGACAACATGTTCTTTCAAAGGGATGTTTCCCTTCCCAATTTATTTGGTCGGGATTAAAATAATTTAAAGGGGCTCTCATATAAAAAAAAGTGAGAATCATCAGATTTATAACAAGCACAATTTTACTTTTTTTCTTTTGAAAAGTACCCTCGGAGATTTTAATTTGCATCTTTTCCTTTTGCTGAAAACATATTTTTAATAAACATAATGCATGACGAACTCGAAGAAAATAAACATATAATTATGATCCTTGTTGTCATGCAAAATAGTAAAAATAAGAATTATTTGAATATAGAAAAGTGTAGGGACAAAATTTGTTTAACGTACTTTTCTTTTATTAATTTTGTACTAATTTTTTATTAGCTTATGTTTGTAAGAACCTATGTAGGCTTATATAACTGAAGTATTGTCTTACATTTTTCTGCAGCTTTTTGTATCTCCTTTATTGCATTTTCCTTTTCTTTGTTGGCAACACTTTCAAGGGTTTCTTTTCCCTTTCTAATCTGTTTGTCTATCTCTTGAATAGATTCTTTTACCTTAGCCTCAAAAGCATCAATGGACGACTTCACTGCACCATTCAGCTGAGCAAGTGAAACATTTCCCTTCTCTTCAATTTCTTTTACTTTTAAGTTTATTTCTGTAATCAGCTCTAATTTTCTTTCTTCAGTCTTCTGTTTGTACTCAACCATCTCATTTCTTATTTGTTCCTGAATTGATTTTCCTACATCGTCCAAAACTTTACGTACAATGTCTTTTCCAATGATCAAATCGTCACTTTGAAGCTAAAATTATGGAAAAAAAATTGAGTGCTGCATTGAACTATTTATTATCAATTCTACCATGATACTATCTTATATACATGTATAGAACCTCATTCAGACAGCAATTAAGTTAATATTTATCTATTTGTTTTCATAGTCTTTTTCCCCAAATCTTGTATATCCGGTTGTCCTAGCCTGTTCGAAGATGAAATAATTTGAAACATTTATTATAAAGTAATTCAGGAATGCTAGGAATGTCATAAAACATGAAAAAAAGATATTAATACGAGTATTTATGAATAATATTTTGTCAAATTTTCTAAAGTTAATTATATTTCAATAAGTGCAAGAATATCGGTCTTTATACTTTATTTCATTGAAAGGATTTTGTTTAAAATCAGTCGAAAAACTATTTCAAATGTGTTTAAGAGAATGACTTTTATGGGAACTAGGAAAACATGTCAGGATTGCAAAGTTAAATTTGACATAATGATTGTTTTATTTGCATCATTTTGTATAATTAATTTATGTGTTAAGTTTGATGATGGCTTTACTCTTGAAAGAGCTGAAAAGCTTTTGTTAGATAAATAACTTTAAAGGCAATACCCCTACATTCTAAGTTTATTTTATGACCTCTTATTTTGATTTAAATACAAAATTCAATCAAAAACTATTCTCCAGGTATCATTTCAGTGAGTGAAGTAAGAAGCGAATAATTAAGGTTATGACCCCGTTGAGTAGGAAACCTTCACTATTATTCGCATAGTCGTGATAGAAAATAGAAACAAACATGATTACCTTCGCCAATTTCTGAATTGCATTGTTTGGTGATTTATTCATTGCTACGAATCCAGGATCGGTCAAAATGTTGTTTAAAATGGTAAAATACTGCGTTAGATCTGTATCCTCGACCTCCAGATTAGGAGAATGTCTGACAGCTTTACCAACATCTCTACCCTAAATGGAAATATGTTAATATAGTTTGGTCAAGTGAATAATTCAGAAACGATATTTCTTTAACAAATAAACGTTTAAGATGAATCTCCACAAATTTCGTTATGACAATTGTAGGACATAGATGGACAGACTGTGATTTGAAACAAAAATAACCAAACGGTGTTATGTAGTCAATTGCTCGTTCATACTTGTTTCAATAATATGATATTTAATTGCTTCCTTATTGAAGGAAATTTAAAAACCAAATTGAGTATACAATATATATGTCATAATTTAACTGTTACCTTTTCAAATATATTATTCTTCTTGGACAAGTCGTCTTTTATTTTCGCCTCAAATCCTTTGTGATTAATAATGACACTAATGATGCCATTAAAATCAGTATCTCCAGCGCTCGATACATCCTTGTATCCGTCTGGCGGGAGATAACATTTGGCAATTTCCCAAGCATTGCTGCACCATTTGGTTGCATCTGTATTTTTATATGACGGACCATGATATCGATGTGCGCTTTGAATCTCAGATTTTAAATTATGACAAATTTTATTCGGGCAGCCAGATGGACGATATTGTGATGCAGCGTTTTTATGGTAACTGCATTTTCCACGTTTTGCGTTGCAGAGTCTGTTTGTTGGACAAACAATCAGATTTTCCGTACAGCAGTTAGAACAGGTGCTTCCGGCTGGTAAGCTGTTTGACGAGGAAATACTATGTAGACAGTTCTGTTGGAAATCTTTGACTTCATCAGTAACAACTGGCTCTATTTCTTCTTTAGTATAAAACACAGCCAGAGCAGCCTTTATCCAATTGAAGAATTTAGAATTTGATAAAGGTACAGACACAGTCGGCACAGCTGCAGCCATGGTTTGCTGTTTCTGACACGTTAGGTCATCGTCTTATTTTCCTTAAATAAAAAGTGTCATTGTTAAAAATGGACAATGTTTGCTAAAAATTACATTTTTACCCTTGTGTTGAGAATGGCATCATTTGCATAACAATTGTTATGAGTAATTGTATGATGGCCATATGCAGCATATTTTGTATTGAATATGTTTGATAAACATTTTCCATTTTCAATGAGACCCTATGATGACTGTAGGTGAATAGACAAAGTGAAGCAAGAAGTCTTATTTAACCACTGAAATTTACCTTTCAAAAGATTGAAAGTATGAATTCTAGGTCTTAGATAATTAATGTGCCATTCAATCTGTCTATTGTCCTACATATCAGCGCAATTTAAACAATTCCACCATTCAAACTAAAACAATGTTATGGGAATCGTAAGTACAAACCGAAGAAACGTTTAAATGTTTAACGAATTTAAATTTAGATAATGGTCGTTTAAATTATAGATGTTATGAGAGATTGGAGAAGATGAGATAAGTGATGTTGAGTTAAAGTTTTGTTCCTGCTTAGTTGTGATTTAGATTTCTTTTTGTTTTTCACTATCAACTGGTTAATGCTTTTCGATAAAAAAACACGCCAATATCAAGTTAGAAATCGGACTCTCGAATGTTGTGAAGTTTTAATTTTTCATATTAATCAAAACGCTCAACGGAACTTAAGGAATTAAACGCGACATTACCATACGATTACCCTATCTTGTTTAGTAAAGGAACTATATATCTATTTAGTAGCTACAGAAGCGTGCCTAAAAGATTAAATACATGTATTGTGCAAAATTAATTTACCAAATGAAATATTTGTTTCTTATTAAATACAAAAACATTAGTTGTTTTTTTCCAGATAACGACTTTAACTTTACACATTTTGACCTCTTATTGGATCATTGTCTTTTCACAAGTGGCTTTACACGTCACACATCTTCCGTTTTTGGTAAAGACATATACCAAATACTATAATTTTAAATACGGCAGTTCTTCCTCAAGTAATAATAAAGTAACAAATGTAAGCATGGCAGAATATAACTTTATACACCAGAAATTAATTTGAAGGTGCGGGCACGGCAAGGAGTTGACGTTTGACCTTTAAGTCCGACATTGACCTTAAAGATCTTGCGAAAACACGACCTTCTACTTATGTTGATAATATACAACTTTTATTTGAAAGCTTACCGAGACATTTACCTTTGAACATGTACCTTGTTTCTGCACACAATGCATACACTCTTCTTACGGTAATAACATGCACATGTTTAATTTGCAATTCCATCATGCAGCCATAAATTATAGCCCGGACACGAATTTTAAAGGTATACCATTAACTAATTTGACAATATGTGTTTTTAAAAATATACATTTGGTGGTCCTCTTCTTATGTAGTGAAATAGGTCTTTAGGGTCAAGTTAATACTATTTGTAGTAAAACTTGCAAACGTTATTCGTAGGAACTTTTTTGTTGTTGCTTATTTGTTGCTAAAAGTAGATTAGAGAATAACTGATTTACTTCCGAAGTGAGAATATATAAAACAAGAGTTGTCGGAGGACAGCGACGCTCGACTTTTAGAAAAAGTTATCACAATGGTATTTCATTGATTATAATAATGCTTACCTATATGAATAAATAAAATTGTCTAAACAGGTACAAAGGCTTGTTATTAAGATGTTTATCGACTTAACCACTGCTTGATTAGTATGAATGCATACAATTTTCACAAAAAAGGCACAAACCCTTCAGTAGTTATTGAGAAACCAGCTTACAAGTAAAAACTTTAACAAGAATTTCTAAGTCGAAAAAGGGTTATAATTATGCAAAGGCAAAAAAGCAAATCAGAGTTATGGGACTTGTGCCAATCATCTTAGATCATCACAGAAAACAAGTGTGTAAAGTTTCAATCCATCCCATTCAGTAGTGCTTACACGCAAAAGGGGCATTATTATGCAAAAAAGCAAATCAGAGTTATTGGACTTGTGACAATCATGTTTAACTTAGATAATCACAAAGAACAATTATTTTATCAACACAATTAATTAAGTATATATTTCAGAACGAAATTTATATTTAAAATGTTAGCATTATCTCTAGAAAGATTTTAAAGAAAACGTTTCTTATATTGAACAAACGAGACAAGGCTGAAGATTTTAATCTGAAAGTGTTGGTGTGATGAAGTAATGCAAACATTTATAAGCTGGAATGAAAAAGTTAGAAAAAAATTAACATGTAAAGGCTCGAAAAAACTGGCCCCTTAAGATCCTATCTCGGCACACGATAGACAATCTCTACCCCTAAAAAAACATTAAAAATGTAAAAAAATTTTAAAAAAGATTATTGGGTTTTTATTAGGTGAAAAATTTCTTAAATTTGGGTTAAAAAATTGTTTTAAACATTTTGAAAAAATTTTTGATAGACTTTATTTGAAAATAAAAAAAGTTTTTAATGTTGCAATTTGTTTAGTAAAACAACTATTCAAAAAAGCACCAAAGTATCAAGATTTAACGCTCTAAAACGAGTTAAAATTTTTCTAAAAACGCGAATCTGCCCTCTTCGGGAAGACTTCATTTTGCAATGGAATAATTTGGCTTTTTATTAAAGTTTAAAAAAAATTGTGTTAAAACAGTTTTTTTTTAAAAACGTTTTGGTTTTTTCCTTTTATTTTTTTTGTATAAAAAATTTAAAAATTTTTTAAAATTTATGGTTAATATCCTTTTTTATTTCCCCCGAAAGATGCGGAAATGAAAAAGTTACTAGAAACGAAACCTTGTAAGTTTTGAAACAGGTTATGGTGGGGGAATTAAAAGTTTTGTTGTTGTTGAAAAGTTGCATTTATTTCCTGGGGTTTGAATTGTAAATTTAAAATTGAATTACTCTTAAAAGTCAGATTTTGTTTTTGGACTGCACTTCTCTCATGCTTTTAAAATTGTTGGAAATTTAAATTTCCTCATTTTTTTAAAAGTTATCAAAAACCGCAAAAGGGTTTTTGGGTGAAAATCGTCCGCAAGCATGGCACGATTTTTTCAGCTAAAGAAAATGGGTTAAATTTTATTTAAGGCTAATCTACTTTTCCTAAGCATTGTAAAAGGGTTTTGTAGGGTTTAAAGGGTTTAAAATCAAAAAAAGGTAAAAATTTGAAAATTAAAAAATTTGATTAGGGGTTTCTCGGTGGTGCTCTTTTGGAAAAGATGAAAAAAACGCGGGCCCCAGTTGGGGTTAAGTTTTTTTAAAAGGTAGATGTTTTGGATGGCGAAAACCCTGGCAAACCTTCAAGGGTTAAAAAACATTGAGTTTTCCCTGAACAAATTAAAGGGGGGAACTGTAATAAAAGGTTGCAAAGGGTTTCGGGGTATGTGGCGGATCCTTTGAAACCCCTTGAAAAAGAAAAAAAGAAAGGGCCCATGGGTATTAGGGAAAAAAAAATTTTGCCCCCCTGGTCTTTTCCCGGGCCCCGAGGAAAGTCCCGTGGGAAAAGAATAAAAAATTCCGTTTAGTGCGACAAAGAAGTGATAAAACACACTTGACGCTAAAAGGGATCGAAGTCATATCATGTATCGTGAGAAGACTAACCGTAACGGGAATCTTCTATAAATGAAAACTGGTGACCAGGATTGTACAGTTCTGCTCTACCTCAAACACCCTTGCAAAATTCAACCGACTTCGGTAAAACAAGCGCACGTGATTCATGCGGTCAGTTTGGAGAGCCGAGTAAGAAAAAGCCGCGCAAATGCAGCAAGTGTTTATTAGACGGACATACTTTCTCCAGCTGCCCAAATGAACTGGGTGTGTAGAACCTGCATCGGCCCTGAACAAGTTCGGACTGTCTTTATAATAACGCTAGAATCAGACCCGACGCCGATTCTTTAAAACTGGTTCGAGCAAATCCAGCGACTCTACATGCATTCTCTTGATAGTACATGTTAAAAGCTCGGTAGTCTCCGCTTTTTCAAGCTAAAGGCCCAAACCGGGGACAACATTCAACATCTCCCATTAGCATCATCAGGAATACCGTCGTGCTCTATATTAAAAGTCTATGGGGGAAAAATATTCTTTCTTATACTACCCCAAACAAGGACAAACCTCAACTTGTTAAAGAGCGCTCACCGCCCACACCCGCTGACGAGTACAGGGAGAAATGTAACGTTAAATCCACCAAGAAACATCACAGAAGTAAATGATTGCTGTATCTTTTAATGTCACTTGGAACATTGTTTGTTTTACAAACGTGCTATGTTTTATGGACATGAAACAGAACAACGATTATAACTGGAACACATTTGGAGTTTCATGTAATAAAGAGATTATTACAAGATTGTACATTAATTACGTGGGCAGTAGGCCTTCAAATCATTATTTTTTCAGTATTCTGTACATGAATGAATGCATAAATTATGATACATCATTTAAAATGATATATATTTCATGTAAAAATGTATCATGTTATATAACTGGTGCACAAGAAACAAATTTGACATGGCCTTATAAATTTGTAAGCGTTGTGTTAAATTTTGTAAATAACATACTTGTAACTATAGACGCTTTACTATGTAAGCAAAAATGTAGTGCGCGCAAAGAAATCACGGAAAACACGAGAAACATTCAAAATAGTTTAGATAATTTCATAGTTATTGCGACAGTCGGGTGTTCCGATCAACAAAACATACTTATTACTCAATGTAATACCGGTCATGTATTTGTCTGCATCTGTATAGTATATATTTTACACAGACTTCAATTTCATTTATTTTTCAATTTTATCAAGCATTCATATACCGATGCAGTGTACTTACATGTTGCGGTGCATAGGAAATTGGTTTTTAGAAAATTATACATGTATGTTTATTTTATATCAAGTTAATACAATTGATGTAAATTTGTTTTATGTCCGCGTACAAGATTTGTATAGCAAATCTCTGATGCTTAAAACAAATATTCTAAGATGTTATCAATATATTAATGTATGTTCATTAATCTTAATGTTTTTGATACATTCTATTTATATGTTAACGAAACCACAATTTTGTTCACAATTTATACATGTACTTTGGAAATTTACTTTCGTTCCATGCTTCAGTGCAATTGCTTCCAAATCCGAAGCTTTTGTAAAATATGGGGCATTACAAGAAAGCTACATTTCGAAACCTTTTGTTTCGCGATTTCGTCAAGGCTTCAAGAATTATGCGTTTATCACATGCGTACTCATTGTACATGTCAAGTTACAAGATATATTTTACGTGTTTTAATTTAATAAGTCAATCAATTTCTCAATATGTCTATTTATAAACTTCATATTGGTTCCCTTAATGTACAGGGATTACGTGCGAAGCCCAAACGTTTACGTTTTTTAGAATG